GACTGGTCCTCTCCTCCTGATGGCGCTAATGGAATTCTCAGAGATAACCTTTAGGGAGTGTGCGTTCCTGTTGACTCCAGCGTGTGGCACTGATAAAACTAACCACCCTACCAAACTAAGTCAAGCCTGAGAGCCAGGCTGTCTTAAGCTAATGCCTGAATTCCTTCCACCACACTGAATTTGGGACTGGAGAGGGCGCTGGAGAGGCTCACCTGGAGTATTACAGTCCATTTGTGTCTAGAAGGAAAGAAAGATATGAATGTACGTCCCTTGTATCTGGAAAGTTCCACTTTGCCTTAGCAGCATTGGAGGGTGTGCGATGGGGGGAGGGTGGAGGACAGGAGCGCCAGCCAGCGTTGTGCTTTCTGCTGCTACTGGAGATGGGTGGAGAGACGGCGCACCTCTTCCTCCCCTCCATATGGAAGGGGAAAGGGCATGTTGAGAAAGGGCAGAAGGGGTTGTCAGGTACCCCCCTCACCAAGCGGGTGAGGCTAAGGTAGGAGTTGCAATGCTTGTGCTTTCCCAGCTAGCCCCTGAGCGCTAACTCACCAACCCTTTGACCTGGGTCACGCGGGGCGACTTCCCCCTTGGGTAGCTTGGGTAGAAAGAAGAGCACCAGTGGATAGATGGAGTGAGGAGGGGCTGTGGATGTGCAGATGGGCACATTGGGTTGGGGTGGGCTATTTTTGGGGTTTAGTTGTCTGAAAGGGATGTGGCTCCTTACAGGAAGTCAAGGACAGGCCTTTGGTTCTTGGGGATCCCCACCCACCCCTCAGTTCCTTATTTAGTTTTTAGGAAGGGGTTCAATGGATAGTGTCAGGAGGTTCAGTATCTAACCCGGTGTCTGGCCTTGCAGGGCAGACTCTGGGGACCCCAGCCTGGAGGAATCAGAGGCTGGATACAGCCCTTTCTGAGGCTCCAAGGGTCACGTATACAAAGCTTCCTGAAGGTAACAGTTGGGCAGTCAGTTCAAAGTAAGTAGATTCGTGGAGCTGGAGAGCTGACTCAGCCATTAAGAGCACTGACTATTAGGACCCAGGTTCAGTTCCCAGCACCCACACAGCAGCTAACAACAGTCCATAACTCCAGTTCCAGGGAGGGTCCAAGGCCTTCTTCTGACCTCGGTGAGCATTGCACACATGGGTGCAGTTATATACATGCAGGCAAAACACTCATAAAATAAAAATAAAAATTTTAAATTAAAAGTAGCTGGGCGTGGTGGCACATGCCTTTAATCCCAGCACTTGGGAGGCAGAGGCAGGCGGATCTTTGTGAGTTTGAGGCCAGCCTGGTCTACATTGTGAATTCCAGGACAGCTAGGGCTACAAGGAGACCCTGTCTCAAAAAAGACAGAAAAAAAAATTAAAAGTAAGCAGATCTGGGACTGGAGAGATGGCTCAGCAGTTAAGATCACAGACTGCTCTTACAGAAGACCCAGGTTCGATTCCCAGCACCCACATGGTAGCTAACAACTGTCCTCCAGTTTCAGGGGATCCAACACCTCTTCTGACCTCCTTGGGCACTGCATGACATGGGTACACTTACACACATGTAGGCAATACTATATTCATACACATAAAAGAAAAATAAAAAATAAAAAAATTTAAAAAATGAAGCAGATCCGAAGATCCATGCCTGGAAGTCTGGGGGACGGTGTCTGAACTGAGCGACTTGGCAGTAGCCTGTGTTAGAGGAAGCAGGAGGCTCTGGGTCTACCCAATGCACCTATTTTATGGTCATTTTAAAAGAAATGGCTAGGTGTAGTCGCTCATGCCTGTAATCCTACCACTTGGGAATAGAGGCAGGAGGGTCAGGAGTTCAAGGTCAGCCTCCATTACATAGCAGTTTTGAGGCCAGCCTTGGCTACATGAGACTCTATCTCAAAAAAGAAATGGGAGAGGGAGTCTGGAGAGATAGCTCAGCAGTTAAGAACACCCAGGTTGAGTGCTTCCCAACTGCCTGTACTCCAGCTCCAGGGGGATCCAATCCCATTGGCTTCCAAGTACACCTGCGCTCACATACACACCTCCCCCACATGCATACATACATACATACATACATGCATGCATACATACATACATACATGCATGCATACATACATACATGCATACATACATGCATACATACATGCATGCATGCATACATGCATACATGCATACATACATACATGCACACATGCATACATACATACATGCATACATGCATGCATGCATACATGCATACATACATACATGCATGCATACATACATGCATGCATGCATGCATACATACATGCATGCATACATACATACATACATGCATACATACATACACGCATACATACATACATACATACATACATACATATGTACACATAATTTAAAAATATTTTAAATGGTGGGACTGAGGAGATGGCTCAGTTGGTAAAGTGCTTGCTGTTCGCATCCTCAGAAACCAGGTAGAAGAGCCAAGTGCCATGGTGCACGCTCTTGAAGCTGGAACTGGGAGGTGGGAGGCAGAGATGGGCGGATCCCTGAAGTCAGGGGTCAGTCTAGTCACCCTGGCAAAGTTCCAGATTAGTGAGAGACGCTCTCTCAAACAAAAGGCGGGAGGGGCCTAAGAAATGACACCCCAGGGTGTCCTCTGAAATCCAGAGGGATGCAAACACAATGCAAGAAACAGGACTCGAAGCCACTGACATTGCTGATCTGAAAGGGATGGAGGTAGCCAGGGAGGGTGTCAGCCTTGACCTTGTTCATCCTGGGGTTCATTATTTCAACAGAAACTCATCATTTCCTTCCTCTGGAGAGCTTGAAACACCAAGAGGGCTGGAGTGATGGCTCATTGGTTAAGAGCACTTGCTGCTCTTGCAAAGGACCCCAGCTCAATTCCCAGCACCCATGTCGGTGGCAACGGTTCTAGTTTTCTGTTGCTGTGATAAAACACCGACCAGAAAGAACTTGAGGAGGAAAGGGTTTGTTTGGCCCCTCAAGGGAGGCCAAGGCAGAGGAGCTCAGGGCAGGAATCTGGAGACGGGGACTGAGGTAGAGACCATGGAGAGGTTATTTTGATATATCACAGTGAAAGATTTATCGTCCTCTTTTTTTTTTTTTTTTTAAAAAAAAAAAAAAAAAAAAAAAAAAAAAAAAAAAAACCAAAACAAAAAACCCAAAACAAAAAAGCAACAAAAAAAAACCTTAAAAAAAAAAAAGATTTATTACTTTTATTTATTCGAACTTGTGTGCCTGCATGAGTTTATGTGCACCAAATGCATGCATGTGCACACAGAGGCCAGGGGCCTTAGGATCCCTTGGAACTGGAGTTACAGGCAGTTGTAAGCTGCCTGGTGTAGGTGCTGGGAACTGAACCCAGGTCCTCTACAAGAAAGTAAGCTTTCTTAACCGTTGAGACATCTCTCTAGCCTCTTGTTTGTTTGTTTGTTTGTTTATTTATTTATTTATTTATTGGCCTTTTTGAAACAGGGTCTCCCTGCAGCCCCAGCTGTCCTGGAACTCACTATGTGGACCAGGCTGGCCTTGAACTCAAAGAGATCCGCCCGCCTCTGCCTCCCAAGTGCTGGGACTACAGGCAGGCACCACCACTCCCGGCTCCTCTTGTTTATTTAAAAAATTTTATTTTATTTTTTAATTTTCATTTTATGTGTATGCGTGTATTGCCTGTGGAGGCCAGAAGAGGGCGTTGGATCCCCTGGAACTGGAGTTATGAATGGTTTGTTAGCTGCCATGTGGGTGCTGGGAACCAAGCTCAGGTCCTTTGCAAGAGCAGTTAGTGCTCTTAACTGCTGAGCCATCTGAGTCAGAGGGAGAGCTCTTATCCAGTATATGTGAGGTCCTAGGTTCAACCGTGGTCCTATAAAACAGTCTCTTTTCCTCCTGCATTTTATGAGTGCAGAATATGACTTAAAGTTCTATCCCAGGACTGGAGATGCGGCTCAGCAGTTAAAACACTTGCTGCTCTTTCAGAGGACCCATGTCCAGTTGCCAGCACCCACACCAGGTGGCTCACAACTGCTGTAACTCCAGCTCCAGGGGATCCAACACTGTCTTCAGGCTTCTGCAGACCTCCATACACACATGGCACACACCTTTAAAAAATAAAAAATAAATAAATAAATGTGTGTCCCAAAGTGGATTATGGTGGTGCATGTCATTAATCCCAGCACTCAGGAGGCAGAGGCAGGCAGATCTCTGTGAGTGAAAGATTTATCGTCCTCTTTTTTTTTTTTTTTTTTTTTTTTTTAAAAAAAAAAAAAAAAAAAAAAAAAAAATCGTGTCCTAAACTCCAAAATGTAGTTTATTACTCATTTTGAGTACCTAACCCCAAATTGAAACTTATTTTGCAAATTGGGAATTTTATCTACTGGACTTTCCAGTAAAAACACTTTGAACATTTTTCCACACTCTGAAAGTAACTGCTGACTTTATTTTCATCCTGGTTTCTTCCCTGAACTTCCTCTGTGACAAGAAGTTCTAAAAAGATTAGTTTCAATTCCTTAGATGTTTATATTCAGAAAGGCCAAACTATTCCAGGCTCCCAGGAAAACATCAAATCCATTCAAAAGGAAAAACTGAAACTTAACAGAAGTGAAAAAATATTTTGCAATATCTTGCATGGCTTGTGGGTTTTGTGCTTAGCAATATTCACACAAGGGTAAGCATGTACCAGTGCACATGTGTGCATGTATGCATGAGTGCACCTGTGTGAGAGTGTGTATATGTGGACATACATGTGCATGCAGGTGGTGCCATGTGGGGCACCCCCATGGGGTCAGTGTGCACAGTCTGTTTACTAGGATGTCCTGGAATTAAGGGTCATGGCAAAGGTTTTGCCCCCAAAGTTCAATCCTCAATCTCTGCTTTTATCTTTTGCTTTTTCTCAACAACACACCCCCCCTCGACCCCCACGCCCCCTCAGCTTCCTCCTCTGCCTCCCCCACTTGCCACTCCCTAAGTTTTCATTCCCTGGCCACAAATGAAGAGGCTATTCTGTTCTGGCAGCTGTGATTTTCAGGAAGTCAGATGATCTTTTCTGCCCTCTGGCTCTCGATTCTCCAGTCCTGGACACCATGGACCCTCTGCTGTATCTCCTCTGTCTGCTCTCCCTGTGCCCAGGTAGGAGGCAGGGAGAGTGGGCGGTGGGGCCCTGTGGGCATGGCAGTTACTGTCCCGCACGTGAAAGGGACAACCTTCTCGCCCCTCTCTCATCTCTGCCTTTTGTCCTCTCTCCCTTCCCGCCGCTGTTGTCTCGGTGTCTCCATGTCCCCATTCCCACAGGCCTGGCAGCTCTCTCCTGCCCTCAGAACGTCAATATCTCGGATGGTACTTTCACCCTTAGCCATGGCTGGGCCCCCGGAAGCCTCCTCACCTACTCCTGCCCCCTGGGCAGCTACCCATCCCCCGCCTGGAGACTGTGCAAGAACAATGGACAGTGGCAGACTCCGGGGATCTCTTGGCAATCCACCCGGCGACCCACCCAATGGGTTAAGGCAGTCTGCCGACGTGAGTCCCTTTGTCCACCAGTGTTAGCCCAGAGCTTCTATTTAGCAGTGGCTCAGGGAGGGTCTTCCCGGGCTACTTGGCATGGGAGGGAGGGCCTTTCAAAATAAGGGGAAAAGTCCATTGTCCTTAGTAAGGATTTTTTTGTGTGTGGTTTTGTTTTTTGAAGCAAGGTCTCCCTGTAGCCCCAGCTGGCCTGGAACTCACTATATAGACCAGGTTGGCCTTGAACTCACAGAGATCCGCCTGTCCTGGGATTAAAGGCGTGCTCCATCACACTCGGCTTAATAATAAAATATTTTAAATTTGCTATGGCACGACAGGGCATGTACCTGGCTTTTTGGTTTTTTTGAGACAGGGTCTCACCAATGTAGCCCAGGCTGGGCTCAAACCTGCAGTAATCCACCAGTCTCTGCCTTCTGAGGGCTGGGATTATGAGCAAGTACTACCACACCCAGCTGTTATTTGTTTTTGAGCTAGAGCCTAACTCTAGCTTAGGCTGCCCTGGGACCCACGATGTAGCCCAGGTTGGCCTCAAATTCACTATGTAGCCCAGCTGACAGCGAATTTCTAACCCTCTTGCTTGGGCCTACTCCAGGCTGTTTCAGTGTTTTCACAACCAGTTGGTAGGTTCATGGTTTGATAGACGGTCTCTCCGCCAGGCCCAGCCCAGGTGTTAGCCACCCTCCCATCTCCTGGCTTCTCTCCCTCCAGCTGTTCGGTGTCCAGCCCCCGTTTCCTTTGAGAACGGGATATACACCCCTCGACTGGGGGCCTACCCTGTGGGTGGGAACCTGAGCTTCCAGTGTGAGGATGGTTTCAGGTTGCGGGGCTCACCTGTGCGGTACTGTCGCCCCAATGGCATGTGGGATGGAGACACGGCTGTGTGTGACAACGGAGGTAAGTGCTGGGCTACTTGGGGGTGGGGGGACTTGCAGAAGCTTCTATGAAGACAGGGGCCTGGAATTCTTGGTGGCACAGTGATATTCCTGGATTGGGGTAGATGGAGGTCTGTCTCACTGGCCAGTAGGGAGCCTGGTCCAGGATGCTGAGTCTCAGATTTGACTCAAGTTTTTCTTTTCTTAAAATTGTTTTAAAAATTATTTTCGTTTTGTGTGTATAAGTGTTTTGTGTGCATGTATGTAAGTGCACCCATGACCTCAGAGGCCAGAAGAGGGAGTCAGATTGTGGATGATTGTTAGCTGTCAGCTGGGTGCTGGGAACTGAACTGGGTCCTCTGGAAGAGTAGTGCTCTTAGCCACTGAGTCATCTCTCCAGCCCTTCCTTCCTTCCTTCCTTCCTTCCTTCCTTCCTTCCTTCCTTCCTTCCTTCCTTCCTTCCTTCCTCTCTCTCTTTCTCTCTCTCTCATTCTTTCCTCTTTTCTTTCTTTTTTTGAAACAGGTTCTTACTATGTAGCTCTGGATGGCCTGGATCTCACTATGTAGACCAGGTTGACTCCAAACTTAAGAGATTCGCCTGCCTCTGTCTCCTGAGTGCTGGGATTAAAGGCACACTGCCATGCCCAGCTCCCCCTACCTTTATTTAAAGATTAATTTTTATTTGTGCATATGCACGTGTGTGTGTGTGTGTGTGTGTGTGTGTGTGGTGTGCCATGTGTGTGCAGGCCAGAAGAGGGCATCAGATCCCCTGGAGCTGGTGTTACAGGCAGTTGTGAGCTGCCTAATCCAAACTCCAGTCCTTTGGGATAGCAGCAAGTGCTCTTAACCTCTTAATGGCTGAGCTGTCTCTTCATGGCAGCCCTGGCTGGCCTGGAACTCCTGATCCTCCTGCCTCTGCCTTCTTAGTGCTGGGCTTACAGATGTCATTTATTTAAGCATAAATATACCTTAACTTGATATGTGCTCTCCATACAGTAACATGTGTGATTTCTTGCTATGACACTGGAGATGAACTTTAGGGCCTCTTGAACTCCAAGCAAGCACTCTACCACTGAGCTATACCCAAACCCTAAAGCATGCAATTTTTTTACCTTTATTTATTCATGTGTGTGTGTGCATGTGTGTGTCACAGTATGTGTGTGTGGAGGTCAGAGGACAACTTGTGAGAGTCGGTTCTCTCCATCCACCATGTGGGTCCCAGAGATTGAACTCAGGTCGTCAGGCTTGGTGGCAAGCACCTGTACACACTGAGCCATCTCAACAGCCCCCTCCTGGTGTTAGACAAATGAATAATGCACACCTGGCTTCCTTTGGTCAGCACACTGCTTCTGAAAGTTGTGCATGTTGTTGTGTGAATCCATGTTTTGTTTTTTCATTGCTGTATAGTATTCTACCGTGTGAGTGCATCACAAATTATTTACTCATTGTTCTGTTGATCAGTATTTGAGTGAGATCCAGTTGGAGGCTAGGATGAATGAAGCATTATGAACTGTCTCACACTGGACTCATAGCTTGCTTCACCTCCAGAGCGAGGATAGGTTGGTGTATGTTTAGCTTTATTCAGGGTTTTCCAGATGGGCACTCCAGCTGTGTAGTAGAGTTCTGGTTGGACCACAGCCTCTGGAACACCTGAAGTCACATCTGGGTTAGGGTCGGTCATTTGTGTGACGTAGTGATGATCTCATTGTTGTTTATGAAGTGTGAGTCTTCTGTGTGTGGGAGCATCCTCTCCCAACATCTTCTGTGGACAGCCTGGGTCAGGCTGGGATGCTCCCGAGGACGGCTGAGGCCTTGAGTTCTCAGTGCTTTGCACACTTTGAGGTCTCCAGTCACTCTCATGGCTTGTGGTTCTGGTGTTTCTCAAGGGAACTTTGGAGGCTCTGAGGGTCTAGAGAAGGAAGAGCCCAGCGTGAGGGGCACAGATGAGCTGAGCATCCCAGCAGGCTCTGGTCCCTGGTCACCTGTCTTTGTCCTTTGCAGCTGACCACTGCCCCAACCCAGGCATTTCGGTGGGCACAGCTCGGACAGGCTCACGCTTTGGCCTTGGGGACAAGGTCATTTACAAATGTTCCTCAAACCTGGTGCTGACCGGCTCTGCAGAGCGGGAGTGCCAGGACAACGGGGTCTGGAGTGGGACGGAGCCACTCTGCCGCCGTGAGTATCCACAGGGCCTTCTGGGGGACTCTGCACCTGGGCTGGCCCTGGATGACCCCTGTGTGGCTCTTCCTACAGAGCCTTACTCTTATGACTTCCCTGAGGATGTGGCCCCTGCCCTAGGCACCTCCTTCTCCAACCTGGTTGGAGCCACCAATCCCACCCAGAAGAGGACAGGTGTGTGTTTGTGGAGGGGTCAGGTGGTGGGGTGGCAGGAGAGAGGTGAGCTCCTTGGCAGCTGGGAGGCTGGTTGCCCTTGGTGCCTCTGAATGCACCACTTCTATATTTCTTCAGAAAACCTGGGTCGTAGAATCCAGATTCAACGCTCGGGTCACCTGAACCTCTATCTGCTGCTAGACGCTTCTAAGAGTGTGTCGAAAGAGGACTTTGAGATCTTAAAGGACAGCGCCTCCCTCATGGTGGACAGGGTCAGCACCCAGAACCTGCAGGCTGCGGTGCCTTTCAGGGTGCCCTGGGTCTCTCTCCCTTGTTTGAGTCCTGCTCAACCCCACCTGCTTCTAGAAGTCTCCCCTGATCACACCAAGGCCATGCAGTAATCAGGAATTCAGTGTATCCAATATCTTTCATTTCAAAAAATGGGACCCTACTGTGTGCCAGGCATGGGGCTGGGTACCAGGGCCACCAAATCAAACAAAGCTGAGTTCTCTCTTTTCAGGAATTTGTCATCTAGAGCAGGGATCTCCATCGAGGGCTAGCGTGATAGCCGACAGGGTGTGCTAGGGAAATTCAGTACTCCTGTTAAATAACCTTGATTTTCATCAAGCAAACAATTTAACACTTAATACCAGATGTGGTAGAGGTGGGAGGTAGCGGCAGGAAGATTATGAGTTCAGGGCCAGCCTCAGGCTGCTTGAGACTGACAAAGGGGTTGAGGAGACAGCTCAGTGGCTATGATAGAGTTTGGGCCACCCTGGGCTACATGAGACCCTTTACCAGAGAGGGAGAGGGAGAGAGAGGTAGGTTAGGCAGGCCTCCAGCTTCCCACCTTGTGGCTTAGTGCCCCCCTGCCCGTCCTAGTCCATGCCCAAACAAAACAGAACAAAACAAAACAGTGCCAGGGGCCATAGAAAGCCCAGGTTACTCAGCACAGTGGCAGAGACAGAAGAGACTCTGCCTCAAACAAGGTGAAAGGTGAGACTCGACCCCAGGCTATTTCTTTTTAAAATATTATTTTGTGTGTATAAGCAATTTGCCTGCATGTATGTAAGTGCACTTATGCATGCAATGCCTGCAGAGGCCAGAAGAGGACGTCAGATTCCCTGGAACTATAGTTACTGTCAGTCGTTCGGTGGTTAGCCACCATGTGGGTACTCAGAACTGAACCCCGGTCTTCTGCAAGAGCAGCCAGTGCTCTTAACTGCCGAGCCATCTCGCCAGCCCCAGGCAGAGTTTCTTAATAAGCATCTTGCATATCAGGCTCCAGCCTTCTACCTCCCTTAGTCCCTCTCCTGTTTTGTTTGACCCCCATCCCCGTGTCACTTCTCACCTGCCCTCCACAGCTCTTCAGCTTTGAGATCAAGGTCAGCGTTGCCATCATTACCTTTGCTTCCCGGCCCAAAATCATCATGTCTGTCCTGAATGAGAAATCCCAGGATGGGGTGGAGGTGATCAACAGTCTAGAAAAAGCCCTCTATAAAGGTACGACTATGCCGGGTGTGGTGGCGCACGCCTGTAGTCCCAGCACTTGGGAGACAGAGGCAGGTGGATCTCTGTGAGTTCAAGGCCAGCCTGGTCTACACAGTGAGTTCCAGGACAGCTGGGACTACAGGGAGACCCTGCTTCAAAAAGACAAAAAACAAAACAAATAAAGGTACGACTATCATCTACCAAAGGAGACGAAGAGGAGAAGATGACTCGGGGCCTGTAGATGGATTCGAGAGAAGGGCCTGGGGCCTGGGCAGGTAGCTCAGTTGGTAGAGTGCTTGCCTAGTATTCAAGAAACATTGGGATCCATCCCCAGCACTGAGCCCAGCACTGAGCCCAGACTTGGGAGGTGAAGGCAGGAGGAGGATCAGAAGTTCAAGGTCATCCTTGGCTATCGATGGAGTTTGGGCCACCCTGGGCTACATGAGACCCTTTACCAGAGAGGGAGAGGGAGAGAGAGTAGGTTAGGCAGGCCTCCAGCTTCCCACCTTGTGGCTTAATGCCCCCCTGCCCATCCTAGTCCATGCCTAAAACACCCCAAATTCTTGGAAACTCCATCCTTGCATCTTGAGACCTTGTAATGGTCTTAGGTTGAGGGTTTATGCAATGAATATTTCCATTTTTATTTTATTTTTTAATTTTATTAGGTTTTTGAGACAAGGTCTCATGTAACCCAGGCTACCCTCCAACTTACTATGTAGCCCACACTGTCCTTGAACTCCTGCCTCCTGCCTCCACCTCCTGGGTGTTAAAATTACACCGTATCTGGCTTTTCAATGAACAGTCTAAGGCAGAAAGCCTGAAAGTTGGAACAGAAATGTCACACGTCTGTGCCAGTTCACCAAGCTGTCTGGCAGCTTGGACAGTGGTGTAGAAAGCAGTGACTTCCCCATTGGCAGGCAGCAGGTAGGGCTTTTTGTTTGGTTTTGTTTTCTGAGTGTTTCCTTTTGGCACATTCCAGACCATGAAAATGGAACTGGGACGAACACCTACGAGGCCCTGAACAGTGTCTACCTAATGATGAATAACCAGATGCAGCGCTTGGGCATGGAAACCATGGCCTGGCAGGAAATCCGCCACGCCATCATCCTCCTGACCGACGGTGGGTGTTCTTTCCATGTTCTTTCCGATTGATGGTAGGTGTCTGCTCCATCACCCTTCTGACTGACGGTTGGTGTCTCACCTCTGCAGAGGTCTGAACAGGGGAAGGAGGGCAGGGTTGGTCCCAAGTCCTACTGGTTCCTCTGCACTGTGGGCCACAGTTGGTTGACTCTCTCTATCTCCCTCCCTCCCTCCCTCCCTCTTTTTTTTTCTTTTCTGAGACAGGGTCTCACTATGTAGCCCTGGTTGGCCTAGAACTTGCTGTATAGAACAGGCTGGCCTCAGACTTGTAGAGATCTGCATGCCTCTGCCTCCCTAGTGCTGGGATTACAGGCATGTGCCACCATGCCTGACAACTTATTTATCTTTGAGCCCGGGGTTGACCTTGAACTCATGATCCTCCTGTTTCAGCCTCCAGAGTGGTGGGATTACAAGCATATGGCACAACACCCAGATAATACACACATGCATACATGCATACATACACATACATACATACACCTATATACATGCACACATACACTGTTGCATGACACTTCCTAGGGAGACATGAACAAGCATCAACTTACTTTAGACAGGTCCGCACAGCCTGCAGGTGGCTCAGCAGATTGGAGCATGTCCTTTCCAGGAAGCTGGCTGTTCTGACCCTCTTCCAGGCAGCACAGCTGATCTCTGCTTCCTCCTGGGGCTGTTAATCTGAGGTCTCCCAGCAGTCCTGAGGGTTTCTATGTGCTTGTGGAGGGAGGGGCCTAGTGAACCTGGTCAGTTTCAGGAACCTCCTGAAGCTGTTGAGTTCTTCAGTCCCTGAGCTTACCAGGCCTTCCTGCAGGGGGGAATGTCTCACCTCCCCTCAAAGCGGCATGTGGCCACACTCCCTTCAGACACCCTGGTGCTTACTCCGATTTCCTTCAAGATGGAGGGTTTCGTCTCAGAGGAAACTGCTGTACAGCATACAAACACACACATACACATACATAGATACACACACACAAATATAGACACACACGTACATAGACACACATACATTCACATACATAGACACAAACACACAGACTCATGCACACACACACACATACCATACACGCAGACACATGTACACATGCATATACATGCACACACACCTACACACATTCACACATATGCATGCACACATAATACACCCATATACATGCACACCCATTTACACACATACATATACATACACACATACCCATACATATGTATACACAAATACACACACATACACATATGTACTCATACACGTATGCACATATATGTATGTACACACATAATACACACATGCATATATATGTACACACATACATATACATACACACATACCCATACATATGTATACACAAATAAACACACATACACATATGTACTCATACACATATGCACATATATGTATGTACACATGCATATATATACCACACCCACACACATATATACATGTATATACATACACACCCATATACACATGCATATACATATATACACATGTACACATACATAGACACATACCCATAAGCATGTGCATTACACGCAAACACCCACACGTGCACATGCACATACATGCACATATACATACATACATACACACAATGCACACATTATACATGCACACACATGCCCCATATGCACACATGCACGATATGTGCATGCATATGCATGTACACACAAACACCCACATGTGTGTGCACATGCATATACACACATGCACAGATATACATATGCAGAGTACACACATGTATTGTGTATATATGCATATACACATACGGCGATATACCCACATGCACATAGATGTATATGCACATACACATATGCCCTCATGTAGAACTGTTTTGGAAAAGACCAGGCAGGACACTGGGAGTGTACAGGATTCAAGTATTTTATTCAGGCTGCAGCCTGGTCCAGCAGGCCCAAGCCCCCAAGCCTAGACCCTGAAGGGAAGCAGCACGTATCTTTTATACTTTAGACACTGGGTTACAGCGAAGTGAGAACTTACACATTGATTGATGATAAGTACAATATTTTATTTTTTTGGTCTTTTTGAGACAGGGTCTCCCTGTAGCCCCAGCTATCCTGGAACTCACTATGTAGACCAGGCTGGCCCTGAACTCCCAAGTGCTGGGATTAAAGGTGTGTGCCACCATGCCTGATAAGTACAATCTTAAAACATTGATTGGCTATCAGTAGTCTTAAGACCAAGCAAGTTATTATAAATTCACAAAAGATGGGCTGGAGAGATGGCTCGGTGGTTAGGAGCATTGACTGCTCTTAGCTGCTTTTTCAGAGGACCTGGGTTCAATTCCCAGCACCTACAATGGCAGCTGTAACTCCAGTTCCAGGAAATCTGACGCCCTCTTCTAACCTCCTTGGGCATTGCATGACACGGGTGCACTTACATACATGCAGGCAATATACTCACATGCATAAAATAAAATATAGACAAATAAATTTAGAAAAGAAAAAATAACCAAAAAATCCCGTCTAAAGTCACTGCAGAGTCTCCATCTGAGACAAACAGAACTGAGGAAGTTTCATAAGGACACAAGGGTGTCAGCGTCCTCACCACAGACATGTCAGCTGCACTCTGCTGACAGAGATCAGAGAGAGAAAACAAGGACTAAAATCCGTATATTCCTTAAAGAGTCCATCATGCACACATACACTATACATAAATACACACATAACACGCACACATGCACCACATATACACACATACCCATATATACATTCACACATATACATAAACATAAATACACACATAACATTCACACATACACCATATATACACCCACCCATATACACATGCACACATACACATATACATAAATACACACATAACATGCACACATATACCATATATACACACACCCATATACACATGCACACATACACATATACATAAATACATGCATAACATGCACACATACACCGTATACACACACACACCCATATACACATGCACACATACACATATACATAAGTACATGCATAACATGCACACATACACCATATATACACACACACCCATATACACATGCACACATACACATATACATAAATACACACATAGCATGCACACATACACCATATATACACACACACACCCATATACACATGCACACATATACATGCACATATATACAAATATACATACACATATACACATACACGTACAAATACACATGTACATACACATACCCATATACACACACTTATACATATACACACATATGGATACATATACATTCACACCCATATATGCACATGTACACACCCCCACATTTACATACATATACACACATGTATGCACACATGTATACATGCATACACATACATGCACACAGATGCACGCACATACACACATACACACGTGCACATGAATACACACATGTACACACAGACACATGCACACATTCACACATGCAGACACATACATGCACACACATGTACACATGGATTTAGCGCTCTCTCAGGCAGGATGTGTTTGTGGGGTGCATCGCAGCATAGCCACATTCGTGTGCAGTGATCAGACCTCAGTCACTAGCTTCCTGTCACAGCAGATGTTAACATTTCTTTGCTTTAGGAGTGTCGGAACTCTCTAGCGCTGTTCTGAAATAGTTTCTTGCTGTTAAGCTTAGTTGCCTCCTGTGCTGTGCTGTGCTGTGCTGTGGAGAACAACATGGAACATGTCACAAAACCCCAGGCCACCCTCGCACAGGGGCCATGCCAGCCTTCCCTGTATTTTTCTAACTTTACTCTGTGTGCTGCAGAGACAAGCCTTGGTTTTTGTTTTCCCTTTTTTTTTTTTTTTTTGGGTTTTTTTAGAAATTGTTTTCCTT